GATTTTTATTGACCAATAGGATTTCACCTGAGATTCACATTTTAGTTCTTGAAATAGAAATTAAATTACTTTATTTCATTTTATACTTATTAGTGATATAGTCAGCTTTCCAAAATTCTATGCATAACTAAATGACAAACATTCAAACACATAGTTTTTCATTACTAATATTAGTGGAAAATGGGATAGAATTAATTTAGCACTAAAAGCTTTTTAATATGGTACGAGTACGTCCTCGTCCTTTAGAAGATAACAATCGAGCTTAAGCAACCTTACCGATTTGGCAGTGAATGCTGTGACTCAGCACTTCGCTCTCTATTCCACGAGATCTTAGATATATTCAAATTATTTAATGAAATTCGTGCTTAAATCCATGAAGAAATTTTATGAAAGACCTATTTCGACTGTCCATATTGGCTTAGGACCTATGGTCAAATAAATAGTGCTTTCTATTTCCAGCTTCTCACAGATATTAACTTTTGGATGTTCGAAAGGGCGACGTTTATATTGAGTGTCTAAATTGATAAATAGAGTTAGAGTTTATTTCTTTACTTGAACGCGCGCTTCTCTGTTAAACAACTCATGAAATTCAAATGCGCTATCGATAAATACATAGAACATAGTTGTAATATAATTGCTAATAAATTGAATTATCAGTATTCTATTTATTTATTTCTTCTTGAGGTTACCCCATGGTTCTAACTTCTAGCTCACAGCGCTACAATCTTTATGGAAGAAAGAACTATACATGAATACTACACAAGAGGAGTCGTGAGCAAATGCTAGTATATGATTGATAAATGAAACAAAAATCTATTAAATTTACGAGAAAAAAATTTTGCACAAGCTATGGCTCGGGCTAAATAAATAAATATTTGTATGTACAAAATGGTTATTAAATTTGATATCTATACATATAATAAAATTGTAACTAAGACGAATCTGTACATTAAATATTTTTTGGAAACTCTTATTGAAATAAACATTATTATCGACACAGAGGCCAAATCTATAGTCGTTAAAATTTTTGTCTGTCTGTCTGTTACCATATCACAGAAAAACCACTGGAGGGATTTTGAAGAAATTTGGTATGGTGATAGCTGGTTATGCGGGTCAACATATAAAATACCTTTTACCGCGGGAAAATGCCTGATTTCTGAGTAAAAATACAAAAACTGCTATGTAAAAGTATACTAATATGTAAAACCTAAGAATTTGGTTTTTGGTCATACGAACGCGGGTGGAGCCACGGGCAATGCTAGTTAATCTATATTACATAAATATAATAAAAATTTAATATTAAATAGTAGATTAGAAATATTTTCTATGTGTAAATACTTAGGCAGTTGGTTCACACGAAAACCGAACTTATAACTATTTCTAAACAGTTTATTATTAAAAACAAATATATTTCAATACTTATTATTTATTGACAAAAATTGTAAATTTACCTTAATAAAAATAATTTAGTATAGTGACATTTTAAATCGTTCGTTTATGGAAATAGTATATAATTATTATTTAAGACGATCTTACTAAAAATCTCATAAACGTTTATTATTATTGCATAATGGCTACGCAGGTGGCATGAATGAATTAATGCCGTGTGTGACCAACAGATAAGTTAATGGCTAAAGTATAGGTTTGTATTATACCTATGTTATAATAATGTGAAGGGAGTCAGTCCATAGTCTACAATGCTATTGGTACTATTATATATTTGTGACCACCTTCCAAAATTCATCGTCATTTACTAAATTCCACCCGAATTTGGTACTTTACTCGCCTCTAGAACTAGCTATGTCCCCTCAGACATGCAGGTTTCACAATGCTTTTCCTTCGCTGTTTTATCAATTGGGAATCATATTAAAATAGATTCTCGCTTGAAAATATCGGAAGTATCTAAACTGGAGGTTTGGACAAGCCTACCTACTAGGTTCATTACCTTTGATATTATTGTATTTTAAGATATAATATAGGAGAGTAAAGATAATAGAGAGGTCGTCTAAATCTACAAAACCTTAAATGTTCAAAACTCTCGAAACACTTTCGGTAACTTTCCAAGTTTTCGAAGTAAATGGATTAAGTATTTATGTTTATTAAAAGCCTTCTTTAGTCACCACGTTATTATATTTGTCGTAGTGTTACACACAAAAATATTTAATATAAATCTTTTTTTTTTATTATTGTGAATTTTGGTTTCCGACGCTTCGAATGGTTTACAGCAATCATGGTCACGGGAGAGACTAAGGTTTTAGACATCCAAACTTCAATAGGGAAGATGGCTGGGTACTACCATTATCGTGGGATCGTGTAATTAACATAAATAAAAGATAGTTTTATTTAAAATGTCAAATTTTCGCGTAGATCTAAGAAGTAAGAACATATTAACATTTTTACAATTTCACATGTACAATTTATATTAATGTGAGCTCTAATAAAATAGCATAAACATAAGCTATCCTATGTCGTAGTCTAATCTGAATAATATTAATACATACTTTTTTTCAAGCCCTTTTCCCTTAGAGTTTTTACCAATGAAAAAAATATAAATATACTTGCTAAAAACATCTTTATATTTGGTAAAAACATTCACCTCGTCTCTCACCAGTAAAGATTAAAGCAAGTTCCGACGGCGTAGACACTATCAGCTAGTGACATATCAAATTACGCCTCGCCAATGTGGGCTCGGCAGAATTTTTATTCTGAAAACATTCCTACTTTAATGCATAGTATATATTTTTTTTAATTCTTCATAAAGTTAGAGTTTTCCTCGTTCTAAATATAGAGCAGATACTTATTAAGTATTGTACTAATAATATTATAAATGCGAAAGTTTGTGAGGATGTATGGATGTCTGGATGTATAGATAGATGTATGTATGTTTGTTACACTTTCACGCAAAAACTACTGAATGGATTTAATGAAACATTACAATAATTTATTTTATTTATTTATTTTATTAGGAACTCCAACGTTAGTACACAAAAAACTTACACTAATACATTAACAAAACTCAACCTATATGCACTCACAATTATTATAGGAGAACACAACATGCGTCATATTTTTTTTTATATTAAAGAAGTCGAATCTATAGTTTTTAGAAGTCTGTCTGTCAGTCTGTCTGTCTGACTGTTACCGCGTCACAGAAAACCACTGGAAGGATTTTAATGAAATTTGGTATAGTGATAGTTGGTTATCCGTGTCAATAAAGGTAAATGTCTCATTTCTGAGAAAAAATACAAAAACTGCAATGTAAGAGTATACTAATATGTAAAATCTAAGAATTTGGTTTTTGGTCATCTGAACGCGGGCAGAGCCGCGGGCAATGCTAGTTTAATATATGATTAGTTATAGTTTCACTATGCGATAATTATACAGCATATAACGTAACGTCTTAGAATGTCATTTTTGTAAAAAAAAACAATTAGGTAAAGGCTAATTTAAAGGAATATTATGTTGAAATAGAGACAGTGATGACTGCTTTTGTCGCTAGATGGCGCGGTTTCAATTTCATATAAAGCGTGCGATCGAATAGGTACCTACGTATAACAACTCGCATTTAGTACATACATTAAACAGAACAGTACAGAATAATTGTGTTTGTAATAACGTGCATAAGATAAGTCATAAGGATTAAGTCAAGAAACGGTTTTATTATTAGGCAGCTGTTCTTAACATCATGGGAAAAAATATTACTTCGGCTTTACAAAACCTCATCAATAAGTGTTAGAAATATCTATATTTATCTACGTATAATAAAAGTCTAACTAAACGCTGTCTGTACATGGAATATATTTGAGAAAATCTATTATCGGGAGTTTTATTAACGCAATAGAACCCAAAACAATGATTTTTAGAATTTTTGTCCGTGCGTTTGTGCGTACTAATCTCGGAACCGACTTTGGTGCGGTTTTCACTAATATATTGTGGTAAGCTTCACTTAACATTTATTTGTTTTGTTTCAATCACTCATGAATAAAAAAGTTATGTCAATTAAAAAATTACCTAGGGACGAACACGAGCAAAGCGAGGTTGAGTCGCTAGTTTAACAATAAAATATTAGAAATAAGTATTACATTTACATAGTATACTCACAGTATTTTCTTTCTGACGTTGATAGTTACGTTTAGCTTCATTAACAATCCTATACGCCCTTCCTAACTTATTCTATGAGGTAAAAAAAGTACTGAAATAGTATTTTCTATTGTATGGTGGTGAAAGTGCATTTTATACGATAATTAAAATAATAAGATTGTCAATCTTACCTTTTAATAAAGAGTATTTCTTTATATATTTTTTGATTTAATTTAATATACAATAAAAAAATTGTCAAGTGCGAATCTTGTTCGTTCACCGAGGATTTTGTAGCTTAAAATATTATGTTATGTTTAACGTTACTTGTTAGGCAATAAGTAAATACTTGTAAGTATGTAAAGTTAAGTTGCAAAATAACTATATGACTAGTTTACCAATTTAAAAGAATTATGTTTTACTTTATTATGAACTCTGTCACGCCATCTAGTTTGAAATGTTTTTTTAAATACAGTGCCTAGTGCCTACTACAATATAATGCTATGTAATGGTAAAAGATGGCGTATGTATGTAAACGGCATAATTTTAAAAGATTATAAGTAACTTAATATTACAAAATATAAATTGAATTTTAAATTAACTGTGTAAATATCTATATTTATATAAATATTTGCGATTTTTATTTAAAAAACTATTTTATATTAATCATAGACAATTCATAAAACACTTTTAAACTTTATGTTGTCTATGGCACATCAAAATGGCAGCCTACAGTCATGTCCGTACGGGGTTTTATATTCTTTGTTTACTTTAAAATTATGTTTCTCGTTGATATTTTCTGAATTTTATGTGACATAATAAAATGTTAATGGACAATAAAGACTTATACAGTTGTTCGGATTTTTACAAGTGTGTGATTTGATGTAAAACAAGTGATAGTAGTCTCACCTTGTAAAGAGAAAATGGGGAACTGTTTTAGTAGCACGGGGGAAAAGGATTCCAAGAACAAAAATGAACGGGTGAACCCTCATGAAGAGGATCACGATAGACAATTTCAAACTCCGGTGCCTACACCGCCTCCAGATCCAATAAGATCTACGGTGAATCAAGGCCCAGATACAAACGAGGTCCCTCCCACCCGAATATTTGTTGCTCTATACGATTACGATGCAAGGACTGATGAGGACCTTAGTTTTAGAAAGGGTGAACATTTAGAGATCCTAAATGATACACAGGGGGATTGGTGGTTAGCTAGAAGCAAGAAAACAAAACAAGAAGGCTACATTCCATCGAACTATGTCGCCCGCCTGCAATCTATAGAGGCCGAGCCGTAAGTAGTCAAATCAGTTTTATGCAATCATTACAATAGTGAATGGTTCCTGTACGATTCGTTTCCTTCACATATGCATATTAATACCATATACTTTGTTTTTAATACTTAAACAAAATATTCATTAGTGTACTGCTTTAACAGCATATTATTTAAAATATGGATTTGCCTGTTTACTATTTTGTTTATTTAATATTTATTTTATGTTAATAAATGAAGTCTATAAACAAAAACAATATGACTTGATTGTTATGGTCGAAAAGATATTACTGGAATGTCAAAAATGTGAGTAGAGTATTAAATGAATAGACTTTGGTACATTGGTATAATTGTATAAAGAGGAAGTATGAATCATTGAGTATCAAGTGAAAGCATGGTATGCACTCATTACAATAAACCCAACTGATAGTGTGAACATAAATAGAAAGGTAATCTGGATATCACAAAGAAATACATAAGTCACAATTTGACCTTTTAAAAAAAATACTAACAACCTTCAAATAAAAAGTTTTTAAACTTTATAATACTTGTTCTTAGAAATCAATTAAAATCTTATAATTATAGACTCATAATCTTATAAAACAGAAACTTTAATACGTACTATGTAATAATACCTATTATTAAAATAATAAATTATATGTTATAAGAGCATACTGATTAAGTATTAATACTGAATTTTTTTGCAAAATTAAAATGATCATGTTACTTAAATATTTTTACCTGCAATTAATATAATTAAAGAAAATAATGTATTTTTTTCTGTTATAATAAATATCTAAAACAATACATATATTATAAAAATTTACATAAATTTTAATGTTGATACTTAGTTGAAATATACATTTTCCAAACTAAATACATTCATAAATTTTATGTGTAAAATTCTGTACATTAAATATTTTTTGGAAAATTTTATTGAAATAGGTAGTTGTTATTATTGTTGATACAGAAGCCGAATCTATAGTTTTTAGAATTTTTGTCTGTTTGGGAACGCATCACGAGAAAACCACAACAGATTTTAATAAAATTTGGTTTGATGATAACTGGTTATCCAGTTCAACATAAAGGATACTTTTTACTGCAGGAACATATCTTGTCTCTGAGAAATCTTTAGTAAATCTTAAAACATTACTATGGACGAACCCGAGCAGAGCAACAGTGAGTCGCTAGTAATTTATACATCCATAATTTTAGTAATTTGAATATAGAATTTTTTTATTATCAAGCGGCCTGGGTGCTATAATAAAAGTAAAATATTGTTTATTGTATTATATGTTACATAGAATGCAAAAATTATAAAAACGAAAATATATGACACATTAGGCACCCTCATCATCACTATGTGAGCAATATCTTCTTCTTTTATTTTCTATTACCATAATGTGTTTCCAGTTTCTAATGAAAAAATTAAAATAATCTATGTTAAATAGATAAATGAATAAGGTTTAAGGAGAGGATTTAATAATATTTCTTTATATTTTTTGATTAAATCTCAATTTATCTTTTGAACCAAATGAAAAGTTTCTATATTAGCACCTGCTTAAAAAATGTGTTTATAAACTCAACCCATTTCACTTTGACACTACAGGATGGGTTGCATAATAACATATGTTGATGATGTCCCTTTAATAATTTGTGTGCTTATGTTTCTTTTGTTTGCAATAACAACATTAGCTGCAGTAATATTGTATTCCTATGTCATACCAAATCGTATGCCAGAGCAGCATTATGCTACTTTGTTGTGCATCTTACCTTACTCGAAATATTTAAAAAGCAAGATAGCCAATGCATTCCTAATTTTTTTCAAATTTTTATAATTAGATATATTAGCACACATCAGATACTTAAATAGTATCTGTATGAATATAATATTTATTGAAATAATTTAGAAAAGTAATAATTTTATAAATGTATCACTTATTTTTTTTAAATGGAGTACAAAATCATTAGCATTTCTATTTTCTAATTGGAATTCCCAAAAGTATTATGTAACATATGAGTATTAAATCAATGAAATGTGAAAGTTATATGTTAGATTTATATCAACTTACGTGGTTGTACTGTATGTGTAATATATTAATAAATAAAGTATTATATAGAAAAATATTGAGTATTAGCCATTTCCTATTGTGTACATAAAGATAAAAAATAAAAATGTAAGTATATAAAGATAAAAAAATACAGTAATTTATTTTAGAATGAAAGTGATAGCTTGATAGAACTGTTTTATCTATATAACAAACTACTTTATCACATCAAATTTTGATTTATTTATCTAAAAGTAGATTGCTTGTCATATTATAGTAATTACTATTTAATACATATCTAACAATTCCTTAAATGATTTAAATACAAATAATGTCCATTATTGAATTATTATTCTATCTTTAAAAAAAACTATATTACTCACTCAAATTTGTGAAACCTTTATTTTTTTATTATCCATCCTGTGGGAGAGTTTCTTTCACACCTTAAGACGTAACCTGTCCCTCTTAATACATTTATCTGCCTATCAATGTCTAATTTAAATCAATTTAGCCATTACCATGGATTCAAATATGAGATTTTAATACCATGGTGTACAAATCATACACACAGTATACTATTTTTAAGAAGAAAAGAATTTATTAGACTGCTCGCCCTCGCTGCGCTCTGGTTCGTCCCTAGGTACGTTTTAATATGGAGTAGATAGTCGATCCCTTGCTTTGTGAAAAACAAAAACAAATTATCCCACGGGAACGGTACATTTTTCCAGGATAAAAAGTAACCTAATGTGCTATTACGGACTATAATCTATCTGCCAAATTTCATCCAGATCCGTTCAGTTGTTCTGGCATGATTGAATAACAAAGATTCATGCATCGAAACTTTTGCATTTATTTTAATATAAAAATAATGGGATAAAAGAGTTAAAATAGATTTTTTGTAAAACTTTGGTAAGTACTATTTTTTAACCAGTCAATATGGTTGCTATGAGCACAAATTCTAATGCTCAATTATTTGTGATAACGGATTTTATGGCGATACTTTTTCAGATTGGTCCATAATATTCGACATTAAAAAAATAAATTTATTTTTAATTCTTGTATTAATTTAATTGTACCTGTGAGTCTCCTCTGACAGCAATATAGAGGATAAACTTTTCCATTTAATAGTGCTTGAACAATTTTTTTTTCTTTTCATTTGTCATCGTTATTTGTAGAGTTTATAGACTTTACTTGTCTTTTTGAATGGACATTAGAAAGATATACAGCTAAATTCTAATTTATTTTGTCAAGTAGGCTAAAATATAGCTTGAGCCCCTGTTCCGTGCACTGCTAATAAACACACACACACATAAAAACACTCCAGACTAGAACAATTATCTGTATAGATAAATTACACTCATTTAGGATCATAATGCTTGATTGTGGCTCTTGATTCTGGCTAGGTAGGGCCAGCCAGGGTTGAGGTATAATTTTGTGACAGTTATTTTTACTAATATTATAAATACGAAAATGTGTTTTTGATTCATCTTTTATGGCGGTGATGGGCTTCTATGTTACACACATGTTTTGATGGGGATAGTTATTGGCAAGTGAGCAATTCTGATTATCCTCTTTCGGCAAGATTCCCTTGGGATTAGTTTGACCCAAAAACACTTAGGGTGTCCCATATTTTCACATAATGTCACATAAAATTACAGATTTTTAAATATATATGTATGTATTTACTTTTAAATTCTACTTTCACCCCGCCACCGTCGGCGGGCTGGCTATGCCTCGTTTAGATTTAACGCTATTACAATAATAATTGCAAACTTGAGATTGCGCAATCGCGCGACCAATTCTTGTCACAGTTGTATGTATGGAAAAATTGCAAGCGAAAGTAGTATGTAGATGCTGACACTGCGCAGACAGCTGACAGATTGTTATTAAAAACACTCCAGCTAATCAAAAATAATATAGTTACATACATACAAATTAGCTGTATAGAATCAGTCATATGATTTTTATAATTATTATTGACAGTTGCAGAGACTTTCACGAAACCTACTTTTGTAAGTACCTTCGAAAAAGGAGCTTAATAATTTGACTCGAATGTACATTGTACGTAGGTAATATGTGGAGAATATGTCTAACTGGTAATATTTAATAAATATTAAATAAATTATTTGAGTAATATTTTGTTTAGCTACAGTGTATTTAATGTGAGTTTTTTTGTAAATATATTTTTTACTATTTTGAAATGTTATTTTGATTTTTTTTATAAGACTTATTATATAGCATTCCCCGCGGCTCCGCTCGCGTTCAGATGACCAAACCAAATTCTTAGGTTTTACATATTAGTATACTCTTTACATTGCAGTTTTTGTATTTTATCTCAGAAATGAGATATTTTTCTCCGGTAAAAAGTATCCTATATGTTGACCCGGATAACCAGTTATCACCATACTAAATTTCATCCAAATCCCTCTAGTGGTTTTTCTGTGTGCGGTAGACAGACAGACAAAAAATCTAAAAACTATAGATTCGGCCTCTGTATCGATAATAATGTTTATTTCAATAAGCTTTTCCAAAAAATATTTAATGTACAGATTCGGCTTAGTTACTATTTTATTATTTGTATAGATATATGCTGAAGTCATTAAATTTACACGATGATGTTTAGAAAGAAAAAATAATGAAGCAAAAGTCTCTTTTAAAGTAATTCAAGAAAGTGCCCAATCTAAAAAATCTTTGTCTAACTGTATAAATATGTAGGTAATTAACCAGTTAAGGTAAATTTTTGTATAGATAATATTATTAACCCAAAATATTGTAAATATAAACAAAGCGTAAAACTATAGACAAATCGAGCATAAAAGTAGATGTCCAATATCTTATCATAACTTACAATTTTATAAATGGAAACGATTAAATGCAGAAATACACCATATATGTATCGAGTCCTTTCGTAATTTACCTGGCGCCGTTCATTTTTAGATGCTCATGAATGTTATAACATTCCTTAGATATTTCA